TTTTGTTCCTGATTTACAGCATCCGCAGTTCTTTTGTTTTTTTTAATCAATCTCTGATGTAGAGAAACTAACATTTTGGGCAATGTTTTGTCATATTCTCCAGCTGCCTTCTTGGAGAGAAAACCTGTCTTAAATACTGAAACTAAATTTTATTTTTGATGTAATCATGAGCTATTTTTAAAATAATACAAGATCAGAAATATTTCCCTAGTAGTTTAGTCTGGTTTCCAAATTAAGGAAGTGATGTCTTTTTTCTTTACAGGACTTCCCTTTTATGTCAAATAAGGTGCAAGATTTACTAGGTCAACAGAGATGCTTTGACACTGAACGATCCCACTGTTCATACCAAATGCTGCTTACAGTTTGTTGCACCCGTTTTCAATGTGTACAACTAAACTAGCCTCTTATCATTATTTGGGAGAGATAAAAACCAGGATCTATAAATATTAGGTCATCACCACTTAGCTTTTTAGAGAATTTAGAAGAAACTTCTTCCCCAAAGGAGTAATGACAATGGGGAACTCGCAAACCACAAGGCATGTTGCAGAGATGTCTTTAAGGGGAAGCTGGATAAGCATGTGAGGGGAAAAACAACAGAAGCTGATGGGCACTAGATGGGAACATAGGAACAGGAGTGGTCCATTCACCCCATCTAATCTTCCCTGTATTGGCTGATCTTCTCCTCGATGCCAATTTCTTGCACTGACTCTATCTCTCTTAACATCTTTAGTCCCCAAAAACCTATTGATTTCTGTCTTCAATCTGCTCAATGATTGAGCTTCTACAACTCTCTGGAGGAGAAAGTTCTAAAGGTTCACCACTCTCCAAGGTGAGGAAATTCCTGCACATCGCAGTTTTAAATGGCCTGCCCCTTACCATCAAATGATGCCCCTGGTGCCAGAGTTGCCAACCAGGGGAATCAGCTTATCCATATCCTTTCTCTCAGCCCTCTGAGATTTTTAAGCTTCAGTATGCTTATCTCATTCTTTGAAATTCTGTAGAATATCGAGCCTGTTTCCTTAATGTCTCCTCATAAAGTAATCCAGCCTCCCAGTGATAATCTGGTGTACCTTCATTGCACTAAATAAATGGCAAATATATTCTCCCTTAAATAAAGAATCCAAAGCTGTACACAATACTCCAGGTGCAGTCTCACCAAGGCTCTACACAACAACAGCAATATATCTTTACTCCTGTACTTAAATCCTCTTGGAATGAATGCCAACATGCTATTTGTCTTTCCAGTTTCTTGTTACACCTGCATGCCAGCTTTCAGTGCTTCATGAACAAAGACACCAGATCCTTATGGAGACCTACACTTCACAACCTCTCTCCATTTAAGAAATATTCTGCCCTAATGCTCTACCAAAGTGAATAACTTTGTACTTATTTATATTATTTCCATCTGCCATGTTCTAGCCCATTAACTTAGCCTGTCCAAGTTCTTTTGAAGCCACCTCATGACTTACATTCTCATCCAGTTTGATATCATCAGCCAATTTGGGCAAATTATAATTGGTCCCCACATCCAAATCATTTATGTAGATTGTGAACAGTTGTAGACTTATCAGTAACACTTGTGGTACCCAACGAGGAGAATTCTGCCAACCTAACTGTGATTTATCTAACTGTGAGATCTATTTGTGCTTTAGATGACCTTGCACCATGTTTTAAATACCAACCATTACCTATCTACTGTAAAATCTTTTAGTGTATTTTCCCAAACCACCCCAGCCAGCTTGCCCCTCCAAACACTCAGTTTCCTTTGCTCAGACTTAAGACAAAAGTTTTAGAATGAACTCTGTCACCTTCAAACTTTATGTAAAGTTCCATTATTTTATGATCATTATTTGCAATCGGATGTTGAATTGCCCTTCTCACTACATAGCATCACATCCAAAATAGACCAATCTGTAATTGGCTCCTCAACATACGGCTCCAGAAACCCATCTTGTACGCACTCTAGGAATTCTCCAAAGCATTTGTGCTGATTTGGTTAACTGAGTAGGATGAAATTGTCTGTTTCTACCCCAGTAAATTCTATGCAATTTCTCTCCCCCCATCTACAGCTTTTCGTCTGCCACTTTTCTCTATCTGATAGTAGTAGAGTTTGATGGTAGTTTTCCAGATCTATAAATAAAGGGACTCTACTATAATAAAGCTGAGTTACGTCATTTACACATTAGATTGTTCAACTGCAGCTGAAATTTTCCATAGATGAAGGATAAAAATTAGATTTGCTAAGGTAAATTTTAGGCAAAATATATGCAATGGAATTTAATGCGATCTGTTGAAGCAGTAGTGGAGAGGGGTGATGGAGTGGCAAGTAGGAACCTGAAGGTGGAAACTGACACTGGAATGAAGCAGTCAGCATTAAAGTGCCAGGGCAGTGAATTCATGTGAGCATGGTGGGAAGCCAATTAAGAAAGCAGTCATAGACATTTGCAAGTTGCTGAATGCAATTCAATGGCATCTTTTGGGATTAAGCAAGTGGCAAGTGGGGATAATGCATCATCATATCCCTGACCATTGAAGGTTAAGGGCGTTGATGTGAGGTAGCTCTCCAATTTGGAAGGTCAGCCATTTTGTAGCTGCCTTCCTCAGGAGGAGAGAAAGAGGTTAGAAAGTTGCACACTGAGTGTACAGAGATAGAGGGAGAGGGACTAATAGTACATACCGATAGGCCTAGATCAGAGAGTGAGGGCCAGATGATACAATTGAAAGGGCATACATAGGTTCTTTAAATCCAGCAGCAGCATCCAATGAAAGGGCTAAAACCAGGCCCATGGTGATCACAAATTAAATTCAAGGTATTGGTGGATAAATGAGCAGGGTGGAGCAATGCTAAGCAAGGTGCCTACAGACATCAGAGGCACCATTATTAGAGCAGCAAAAGGGCATGACCCCATCATACAAGTGGACAGGCCCTGCACATCACCTTCCTGAATTGACAATGTGTAGAGCTTGATGAACACAGCACCTTCCTGAATTGGCTAGCCTCTTTCTTGGGAATCCTGCTAACCTCCAGGTCTGCCAGTGGGATTCATGCACCTGGGTAAAATTCTGTCCATGGCTCACAGTATTGGACTCTAAGGTTGTGGCTGATTTTCGTAATATAGCCTTCCAAATAGATTGGAGTCTCCAGCTCCAGAGTCTACCCACCCTTCTTCTGGGATGCCACCACGGTTTCCTGATGAGAATAGTATATCACACATTAGATTGAAAACACAGTCAGGATTGCGAGAGTGCCGTTTATTAAATCTTCAAGGATTTAATTAGTTACCAGACACATTCAGGTGTGCTGTCCGTATACAGAACCTGCCCTCTCTTCCAAATTTGTGAGAGGTGGCACTGGGTCAGAGAGGTGACACACTAACTGGAAACATAAAATTGAGGCCTTATCCATCTCCTATCCCACAAACATGTGGAAGTTTTTAAAGTTGAGCTTGGGGGATGTTACTAGTATTAGACAAAAGTTGTGTTACGAATCTTTCTGAAAGAAAAATTATACATTTTCTGTGGGGTTTCTCTGAATGCAGTTATGCAAATAAATCCTGTGTTCACTTGTGACTCGTGAACATTTCTGTCTGTCTATACAGGGAGGCATGCCACAAACATTGACCTCTACAAGTATGTTTAATACCAGTGGCTTTAGCCATGAACTTCAACCAACCAAAGAAAACGAACATGAAAGTCTGATATTTCAGGATGGTAACCTTATCTCAGCATCTTTAGAGGCTTTGATCCAACATCTCATACCTACAGTTGACTATTATCCTGAAGTAAGTGTCACCACTCTTGTTGCTTAATAAACAAACAAATCTTCTATTTTGACAAAGGTGATGCATTGTTGCTGGTACAGTACCGTATTTAAATTGTCTCTAATTACAATGTTTCAAATATTATAGGAAATTCACTGAAGCATTTGTATCTACACTTCTAAATGCCATTATGCTTTTGCAATGTTTGTTATCTTAAGACTCATTCATTTATCCTGCATCAGAATTTGCATGTTATATCGATGCTGATATATATGCTCTGAGACCAAGACAAATGATTGTTGGAATTATAATCTTCTTCAGGAGGAGACATCATACACAATGTATAGCAATCTCATTCCTTAGTTCCCGCCCCCCCCAAAACTTTATAATTGTAATACTCTGAATTCAGACTGTCTTCACCTTAGATACTAAAGCGGTCCATGTCTGAAATAACTGCACAAAGTATGGCACTCCATCACAAATCACTGTTTATTTACATGTGCATAGTACACTGGCTGTGGCAGCCAGTTTGGGAACAGTTCCTGAAATGAGGAGGCTCTGAAACCTCTGTCTGTATCTGTCAGCCAGGGCTCGCTGATCGGTCTGGGTTAACAATCCCAGTCAAGGATCTCATAGTCAATAAGATCCACCTAGTCCAACCACTACAATGTCCATATGCTACAGGACCTAGATAATATTCATCTTGACCTCAACTCCACTCTCCTGTCTGTTCTCCATAACCATAAGACCGTAAGACCATAAGACACAGGAGCAGAAATTAGGCCATTCGGCCCATCAAGTCTGTTCCACCTTTCAATCATGTCTGATAAGTTTCTCAACCCCATTCTCAAGCTTTCTCCCTGTAACATTTGATCCTATTGACAATCAAGAACCTATCTATTTTTGTCTTAAATATACTCAATGACGTGGCCTCCACAGCCTTCTCTCGCAATGAATTCCATAGATTCACCACTCTCTCTCTGGCTGAAGAAGTTTCTCCTCATCTCCATTCTAAAGAATCTTTCCTTTACTCCAAGGCTGCGCCCTCTGGTCCTAGACTGTCCTGCTAATGGAAACATCTTCCCAATGCTCACTCTGTCCAGGCCATTCAGTATTCTGTAAGTTTCAATTAGATACCCCCTCATCCTTCTAAACTCCAAGGAGTATAGACACAAAGTCCTCAAACATTCCTCAGATGTTAAGCCTTTCAGTCCTGGGATCATTCACGTGAACCTCCTCTGGGCCCGCTCCAGGGTCAGTACATCCTTCCTGAGGAATGGGGCCCAAAATTGCTCACAACACTCGAAATGTGGTCTGACCAGAACCTGTTAAAGCCTCAAAAGTACATCGCTGCTTTTATATTCTAGTCCTCTTGAAACAAATGTCAGCATTGTATTTGCCTTCCTGACTACTGACTCAACCTGCAAATTTACCTTAAGAGAATTCTGGACTAGGACTCCCAAGTCCCTTTGCACTTCAGATTTCTGAATTTTGTCCCCATTTAGAAAATAGTCTAAGCCTCTATTCTTCGTGCCAAAGTGCATGACCTCACACTTTCCCATGTTGTATTCCATTTGCCACTCTTTACCCACTCTAATAAGCTGTCTAAATCTTTCTGTAGCCTCCTCAATACTACCTGTAACTCCACCTATCTTTGTGTCATCTGCAAACTTAGACAGAATGCCCTCACTTCCTTCATCTAGATCATTAATGTATAAAGTGAAAAGTTGTGGTCCCAACACTGACCTTTGTGGAACACCACTTGTCACCGGCTACTATCCTGAGAAAGACCCTTTTATCCCCACTCTCTGCTTTTTGCCAGACAGCCAATCTTCCATCCATGCTAGCATCTTGCCTGTAACAACATGGGCCCTTATCTTACTCAGCAGCCTCCTTTGCAGCACCTTGTCAAAGGTTTTCTGGAAATCCAAGTAGATAACATCTCTTGGTCTAACCTGCTCATTACTTCCTCAAAGAATTCTAACAGATTTGTCAGGCATGGCCACCCCTTGATGAAACCATGCTGATTTTGCTCTACTTTACCATGCACTTCTGAGTATTCAGAAATTTTATTCTCCACAATGGACTCCAAAATCTTACCAACAGCCGAGGTTAGGCTAATCAACCTGTAAATTCCCATCATTTGTCTTACTCCCTTCTTAAACAGAGTGTTACATTAGTGATTTTCCAGTCTTCTGGGACCCTCCCTGACTCCAGTGATTCCTGAAAGATCACTACCAATGCCTCCAGTATCTCCCCAGCTGTCTCCTTCAGAGCTCCAGGGTGTAATCCATCTGGTCCAGGTGATTTATCCACCTTCAGATCTTTCAGTTTTTCTAACACCTTCTCCTTGGTGATGGTCACCATACTCACCTCTGCCCTCCAACTCTCTTGAACTTTTGGGATGTTACTCTTCAACCTAATACTAATTAAAAATCTGTCTACCTCTTTCTTACATTTACTCAATAGTCCCAGCATTCACAGCACTCTGGGGTAATGAATTCCACAGATTCACGACCCTTTGAGAGAAGTAATTTCTCTTCATTTCAGTATTAAATCTGCTACCCTTATTCTAAATGATCTCTTGTTCTAAATTACCTCACAAGGAAACATCATCTCTATGTCTACCTTGTCCATCCCTTTTAGCATCTTTCATACCTCAATTAAATCTCCTCTCATTCTTCTAAACTCTCGAGATTTTGAGCTTAAACTGCTCAATAAGACAAAACCTTAATCTCCAGAATCAATTTTGTGATGTTCCTCTGAACTGCCTCCAGTGCAACTACATCAAGTATGGAGATTATTCATACATTAAACTAAATTGGCCTATGTTTTTACCTATTATCATGATCAGTTTCAACATTTACAGCAGCTACCTTCAACCTCTGCACCATTCTACTTACATCCCTATGGGTGTTTTTATTATCTCCAGATTTAATTTTTCCAATTTTGATATCCCTTCTATCTCCCATTTTACAAAATGGAAATTAAAATAAATATCATCACCTTCATCTTGTCTTGTAATAAATACTGCTTGCTCGTTATGCCTGCTGTACTCAACCTCCACTTATTCATAATTCTCCATAATCGTTCAAAATAACTATCCTTATTTTCAAATCTCCACATGGCCACCTTCAATATGTCTCTGTCTCTGGTTTCCCACTTTCCTTTCAATCCACCAGAGTTGGCAGAACCTCCATCAGTCTCAATTCAATTCCATGAACTCCTGTCCTACACCTTTTCGTACATTGCAACTTCTCTCTTTGCTTTTAAAAGCCACTTTCAGGCATATCTATTCACTCTGACTTTTAACCACCTCCCAAAACTCTTATATTACTTCTGTGTATCTTTTGCTTATCTATTTTGTGTCTTGAATGTTTACAATGTTAAAGGTACTCTATAAAAGAGCAGTTTGTACACTTGCTCAATAACATAAATATAGAAATTGTCTGTTCTACAAATAATATATTTTTGGTCTCATATTAAATCTTAACTGTTACAAATGTGTATTTCTCCTTACAGAAAGCATATATATTTACATTTCTACTGAGTTCAAGATTATTCATCGAACCCCATGAGCTATTATCAAAAGTATGCCACATGTGTATAGAGCAGCAAAGTCTGGACGAGCCAGTGCTTGACAAGGTCAGAGTTATATTTAATTACACATAAAGCATTTCCTTTTAACAGTAAGCTAATAGCATCATCCAAGATGAATGAATAGCTCATAACAAAAATGATTCTCAGTGCCAATTCATTTTTCCATTGTTGCTAATTGACTTGAATTTGATATCAACTGCTGCTAACAATAATCTGTTGTAACTTTATATTTTATGCAATGGGCAAAACCTAAAGGAAGTGTTTGAAGCACTGTGGTAGCTGCAATTTATACAGACCATGTGTGTTAATGTCCTCAAAGCAGAAAATGTTTTGCCTCTTTTTCATGATCAAGGCTTTACTTTTTTTTTCATCTGCCTCCTCTTTGCAATACATAAGGGAAGATGTACTCACCTTGATGGTTCGCACCAAAGATTAATTAGATTGCTTCATAGGATGCGAGGCTTGTCATTTTGAGAAATTGAATAGAATGGTCTATTCCAAAGTATGAAGCTATTCAAGGACTTGACGAAGTCAAGCTGAGAGGCTATGCCTCTCGAAGTGGTGGTCAGAGCTTGAAATCATAGTCTCATTGTAATGGATCAGCCATTTAGGATTAAAATGAGGAGAAAATTCTTATCTGAGGATTGCAAAAATGTGCAATTCTTTCTCTGAGAGCTGTTGATGATCAGTCAATGAGTAAATTCAAAACTGAAATTAACTGGTTTCTAAGCATTATGGAACTATAGAGATTTGTGGTTAGAATGGGAAAGAGGTCTTGGTGCAGAATTTCAGCTATATTGTGAATAAATTGCAGAATGAAGTCAACAGATCACAATGCCTAGATCTGCTCATATTGCAACTAACCATCATCATAATTCATAAAAAGCCTCTTAAATTTAGTGTTTTCCTCCTCCTCCTTATCTTTGTTGTCCACATGTGTCACAGATACAGTATTGAATCTGCAGGGAAGAAGGGTGAAAACTAAGAATGGATGCATATTACCCTATGAGAGTGAGAGTGAATGTGAAGGTGGAAGTTGTGTCTTTAAGGATCTTCAATGGATAATTTCTAGTCTGTTGCAGACACTATGCCTCCATCATCATTATCTCCCTTGGCAATAAAATAGCTCCAGAGACCTGTCTTTCATTCAATTATGCAGCCTGACTAAGTAAATTTAGTGAAGCTGTGTTTCTGGCAGCAATTGAAGAAAGAGATGAGATGATAATATCCAATTAGAATAGAGGAAGGGGTTTTAGCATTAATTTTTCATATACCTGCATCAAGGAGGATGGGTACCCCTTCAGTCAGAATGGCAAAGGCTGCAATTCTCCACTAACCAGTGTACTGTGAAGGTTTATTTCTGCAGCTTTTAATATTAGAGGACAAAAAAAAAGTGTGCCTAAAGAAAGAAAGAGGAGCACTTAGTGAAATATATTGCCCATCTTAGTTCACTCAGTAAATCTCTTACAGCACTTTTCTTTAGTCCTTAAAGATGAAATGGCTGCCTCTTGATATCAATTGTCACTACCCATTTGGGAAAGTACACTGATACTCAAGCCCCATACTCCAGCTTAGAGATTTGATTAAATTACCCAAAAATATTCAATGTATCTGAATGATGGACTTAGATTAACAGAAAACACTGACCAGGTTTCTTAATATGAACTATTATTTATTACAAAGAAATCAATTCTAACCACAGGCAAATGATATGTTTTATCAGCATATAACTCCACGAGCTGAAACTCTTAACTCCTTCTTAAACCCCTTTGTACATATTCAGACAGAGGCAGACAAATAAACAAACACAAATGTATGTTATGGGTACAGGGTAAAATCTTTGGAAACACAGTTCAATAGCACCAACTCTCAGGATTCAATGAGATATCCCTTTTGCTTCTTTCAAATCCTTCAGTTCTCTGATCTTCATATCCAAGTCATTTCAGTTCTTTGCTGAAGACACAGGGGAATTGCTTTACAAAATACTCAAAGTAGCGCACCTCTTAATGCTGTAAATCAGAACCAAAAACAGAAGTTCAGCAGGTCTGGGGAACCACTTCTGAAGAAGGGTGACCAAAACATTAACTCTGATTTCTTTTCACAGATGCTGCCAGACCTGCTGAGCTTTTCCTGATTGGAATGAGTTCATTTCTGACCACAGTTACAAAGCTAAAAATGAAAACAAACACTGCAGAAGAAACTCAGCAGGTTTGACAGCAGCTATGGAGAGAAAGAGAGAGAAAGAGAGACAGAGTCAATGTTTTGAGTCTGTTATGACCCTACTTCATCTCACCCTTTTTTATAGATGCTGCCAGACCTGCTAAGTTTCTCCAACATTTTCTGCTTTCATTTCAGGTTTCCAGCATCCACAGTATTTTGGTTTTATTACGAAGCAATTACTTTATTTGATACACCTAAGCTAATGTAATAAATATTATAAGATCTACTTTGAGAATTAACATAGTTACTCAGGGATATTGTTGCTAGTTAAATGTTATGCACTTAAGTAATTTAAATACATCACAATTTCTCATCAGTTGCACAGTTTTCTTGACCCATCAATTAACGTTGTAGCTTTTTAATTTTATCTGATTTAGCATATTGTGACTCCAGGTTTTAAATGGACTCATGTGGACACATTCACGTGTAAATCTCAGCTTCTCTGCAAGACTTTGTTTGCCCCTCCAGAATTCCAGTTTTAAGTTTTCTGGGTTTCCCAGGACTCAGTAATCTTGTACAGTGGTCTAGTATTTATGGGAATGTATTAGCTCAAAGGGCAAGAGTTAAGGTCTAACCATTCAAGTTATGAAATTCTTTTGATCTATTTGGTGTTTTCCATTACAATTCCAGATCGTCAACCAATCGATTCACAAATGTGCCTCAAGGAAAAGAATATGTCACTGTATGTAATTCTGGTCCCTCAATATGTGGTCAAACCTCTGACCTGCACAAATTGCATCAATACATGATAGAAGTTTATTAAAATAGTGAATAGCGTTAGAGTACCAGATGACATCTAAAAATTTTTAAAATGGAAGAAAAATGAGCCCAGGGAACTGTAGACCAATCAGTGGTAGGAAAACTAACAATCATTATTCAAAAGTACATTTTTTAAAAAGTGTAGAAATTAAACATACAGCAGACATACAACAATAGTCAGCACATAATGCAAAAATGAAGTTCGATGTTTGGTCAACATTCCTAAATTCTTCGAAGGAGTAACAGAGACAGTGAGTATAGCTACTGTGGTATATGTAGATACTTAGATTTTAAAATTCTTTTGATAGGAACCACATAGTAGCCTCATGCCTAAGGTCAGAGTATGTGAATTAGGGATCACGTAACAGAATGAATAGTATGGCTTGCTACAAAATTAAATTCAGATTCATGGAAGCTGAAAAGTGATGGTCCACAGAGATCAGTGCTGGGACAATTGTTTATGCAAATGGTAGAAAACAATTTGGACACAGGAACTGCAATTCAGTTTCAAAATTTACAGATGGCAAGTAATTGAAGATATAGTTAATACTGAGGAAGAAAGAGACAAAATACAAGAAATATGCAACCACAGGACAATGTGTTTTCCAACTAATTAAGCATATTTTGAAGTGCTGTCACTGTCATAACGAAGAAACACGGAAGAAGATTTGTGCACATCGCCTCCCACAAAACTCTAATACAAGGATCCATAAATAAAAGATAGGCACTAATAAATCCAATAAAGAGAAACTCCTTCACCGACAGAGCTGTTAGAATGTGGAATGTGCAATCCAATGGAGTTCTTCAGGTAAATAGCACAGATGCATTTAAGGGAGACTAGATTAAAAGCGAACGTGAGGGGGAAAGAAATAGAATGCTAAGCTAACAGGGGAGATGAAGCAAAAAGATTTCCTTCAGTACATCCTCCAAGTAGAAATTTTGTGTAGTGAAAGTTGAATAACTTATTAATCCTTTGTTTTTGAAAAGAAGTCTGGATCAGGGCTGAAGAAGTCTCAGATGTTGATACAAAATTGGCTAAGTGTTAGGAAACAGAATAATGGTCTATGGATGTTTTTCAGGCTGCAGGATGATTTGTAATGGAGGTCCCCAGGGATTGATATTGGGACCAAAAACAAAGTTGCTGGAAAAGCTCAGCAGGTCTGGCAGCATCTGTGAAGGAGAAAACAGAGTTAACATTTCGGGTCCGGTGACCCTTCCTCAGGACAGGGAGCCCTACCTTTCCTGATATGCCCTAATGATCCAGATCCAGGTGTGCAGGGTACAATTTCAAAGTTTGCTGTTGATACAAAACTTGGAATTATTGTAAATCATGAGGACGTCAGTGTAGAACTCAAAAAGGATGTCACAAGCTGGTGGATAGATAGGTGGCAGATAAAGAGCTATGCAGAGAAGTATGAGGTGCTGCATTTTGATAGGAAGAACATGGACAGGCAATATAAAATAAAGGGTACAATTCTAAAGGGGGTGCAGGAGCAAAGGAATTTTGGTGTTTCTGTCCTTTGATCATCGAAGGTGATAAGTAAAATGAAGAGAGTCGTGAGCAAAGCATACAATATCGTTGGCTTTATTAATAGTGGCATCGAGTAGGAGAGCAAGGAGGTGGTGAGGAACCTGTATAATACACTTTTTGGATCTCAACTGGAGTACTGTGTACAGTGCTGGGTGTCACACAATAGGAAGGATATGAGTGCATTGGAAAGAATGCAGGTGAGATTCACAAGCATGGTTACAGGGGTGAGAACCTTCAGCTATAAGGATAAATTGGAGAGGTTGGGACTGTTCTCCTTGGCGGGAAGAAAGCAAGGAGGAGATCTGATAGAGGTTTTCACAATCATGAGGGGACTGGATAGAATAGATAGGGAGAAGTGGATCCTGATGGTAAAAGGATCAGCAATGAAAGGGCATAGATTTAAAGTGAATTACAAAAGAAACAACTGTATTGAGAGAAATATAATGAGTGGTTTGGCTCTAGAATGGACTGCCTGAAACTGTGGTGGAGGCAGGTTGAATTTGGCATTCAAGAGGGCATTGGATGATGATTTAAA